AACAAAAGAAAAAGAGGAATGAATCTTCTGCTAGAACATGGAACCATACGTCGCCATATGTTTTGTCTTTTGTGCAAGTGGTGACGAGTGGGGCACTGCTCGTAGGAAAATGAAACAAAAGAAAGAGAGAGCTACGGTAGTAAGTAGTTGTAACGTGTAATGGAAAGAAAGAAAGAGAGAGCTACGGTAGTAAGTAGTTGTAACGTGTAACCCATAACTGCAGGAAAGCAGACCTGACTTCGGATCCAGAACATATATTGCTGGCCTGCTCCATTATTACACGAAATTTGCTGAATGTCTCTTGAGACGTTGGGACCTTTGCCAGTGCACTGGGGTCCTTCGGGTAAATGAAAATTCAACAAGGAATTAGTATGCTCAATTTTTTTTCATGTGCCCTTCGATATTTTAGAAGGGAGGGGCACCATTGGCTACCTCAGCCAGCCCTTCCCAATTTTTTTTTTACTCTATTTACTGGGGGGTGTTGGTGATATTATTACGGGTTCTGGATCCCGAAAAAAAAAAAAATGGGGGGTGCGGGCGGGGACTCGGAGGGGGGGAGGCGGGGAGGGGGGGGGGCGGTGGTAGGGGGTCAGGGGTCGGCGGGGGTTGGGAGGGTGCGGGGACCGGTGGTGCGGGGCCCGGGTGCCGGGGCCGGGAGGGTGTGGGGACCGGGAGTCCGGGGCCAAGGTTGGCGGGGGTCCCGGGGCCGGGGCCGAGGTGCTGGGTGCTAGGGCCGCGGTCCTGTGGGGGTGCCGGGGGTCGGGCGGGCGCGGGGGTCTTCAGCGGGGACCAGGGGTCATCGCCCCCGCGGGAGGGGGTCCGGGGGTGAAATCTCGGCCCCGGCTTTGCCCGCGGGGGTCCCCGGGTGACAACCCTGTCGTGGCAACCATAGCTGAGATACCGGCAGGGACCCTACGCGTTTTATCTGGAGCCGGTTCCGGAATTGTCAGGGGTCAGGCGTCACGCAAGTCGAGTGTCTGTTGACTGTCAGTCTTGCTATTTAACAGTGCTAAAGCTAAAAACATCAACCTCGAAAATGCCGACAGTGGAAAACACCAAAATACAAGACACCGGTTCGAAGCCGCCTACACCTATACTTGGTCCTTCGGCCAAAGCCTCCAAAAACTAGGTCCACCAGGTAAGGGCCAAACAGATCAAGCCCGGAGCATCCAGGCCCAAAAAAATAAATGACGTCAGTGCCCCAGACTGGCCACGGCCGAGATGTCTCGGCCACACCCCAGACTGGCCACGGCAGAGATGTCTCGGCCACACCCCAGATTGGGCACGGCCGAGA